TTTTTTTTGCCAATAGTACTCTTTAATATCCATCATTATTTTGATATTATCTTTGCTCTTACCTTTAACATCTATAATTGCATTAAAAATATTATCTAAAAAGTTTTTCTCAATGTGCATAATATCCAGATTATGTCTTATCAAATTAGTTCTCTAATATGATAATGTCTATAAAATATTTTTTAATCTAATTATATTGAACACCATATCCCATATATTTAGACTCTAATAATATTGAAAAATTAATAATTATTAGAAATTCAAAAAGTCTTTATAGTACATCATCACAATTTAATATGGGTGGAGGAGGTGACCTCTCAACTCTGTTTTAACAAATACTTCTTTATTCCTCTGAAATTGATGATCAGCAGGTAGGAACATATGATGACAATCAAATAAAGTATTTTTCCTTCCATGTTTCAGTGTGAAAGCTTTAGTATTTTTCATGTAGTAAGGACAAGCTAATTTTCCTGCTGTGCTCCAACTAGACAACATACCATAAGTTGAAAAATCACCAATGATCCACAGCAATATAGGTCGAAGGAAAAACTTTTATTTTGTTAATATATCATATATGAGAACATCTTCTTCCCATAATAACTTGAGATCATCAATTAATGGTTGTAAAAAAATATTAATTTTTTATTTTAGATTATGTGGTCTATGTATTATAAGTGTTAAAAATATATACGGAGTAGTCATACACATCTCTGATGAAAGATTGTACAGTGTTAGTAAAACTGGACAACAAGAGTACGGTATAGCTGCTTGACTATATGGGGTAAAACCATCAGCACATATTCTCAATCTTATATTGTTGGGTTCAGCAGCAAATAAAGCATGCACTCGATCAAAATATTTTCACACTTCAGCATCTGATGGATGAGAAAAAACACCACTGTTTACTAATTTCTCCTTATGCCATCTCATATGGCCTACTGAACTCATTGATGCATATAGTTGCTGAAGTCTTGAAATGATTGATAAATAAAATAAATATGAATATGAAACACCTTTTTTTTACGATGTAATTTTCTTGTGTTTGGCTTAAACCGAGGCGCATTATAGGTGCGATAATAAACTTCTGTTGCAGCATCCTGACAATATAACATACATGCATTGATATAATAATCACTTTTTATAGCAGTGAGACTCAATTTGGATACTAATTTCTTCGTTCAATATAAATATGAGAGAATTAAATTATTCGTTGGATTAGTTTCCTTGAGAAGACTACTGAAGTCATTGAAACAATTATGAGGAATATTATACTCAATTTTAATACTTAGCATCCTCATTGCAATTGATAATTATAAATGACTTTTGCAACCATCCCAAATTAGTTTTTTAGCTGCATGTAGTAACTCAAAGAATTTTTTATTTCTATATTTGGTGGCTCTTCCACACTAGCCCTTAAATTAGGATATGCTACATCAAAAATAAGTTCTTCATACGATCTACTCATTTGATCTTCATCAAATATTTTAAAAGGTGTGGATGGACCAACATGAGTATTTCTATTTGGCTCGTTCTCACCATGTGATGTCCAAATCCAGTAGTCTAGAAGAAATCCCCTATGATATAAATCAAGCTTCACATCATTGAGCTTGAGAAATGCTTGATTTTTATGCTTCGAATATGGACATCTAAATATTTTATCGAACTTAAAGGAAGACAGTTGAGATGCAACTTGAATGAAAGTCTAACACACTGTATAAATTCATTTGTCAATCATCTTCGACCCGGTAACAATCTGTTATACATCCAATATCTCTCTTCTTGGATAGTCATTTGGACGTTGAAGCAAACGTCTCCCTACATAGTTATGAAATCAACTATCAACTCAATTATACACTCCATAACAAATTAAAAGCATTAATCATATTGCAAGTCATGAGTGCACAAGTACCCCTAATAACATACATGTTAGTTACCTAAATTAAGAGGATTCATATTTTCGGAAATGTGTCGTATATCATGTAAACTATTGCAAGTAAAATTTTGTACGACTTTCTCATTCAAGTATGTGAGATGTGCTAAATCACTGAAAAGAAAAGTCTCCTACATGTTTCTTGATCATATAGAACAATTGCTTTTACGCCATATAAGTGTACTATACGAGCACACTATATAACAATTCATACGGGTGAAAATTTAAAAAATAAAAATAAAGACGCAAACCTACGGGACTCGAACGACGGATTCACAGAGGAGTTGACGAGATCTTCGTCCTTGATTTGATGCCGGAGCGGGGTCGAGAACTTCGGCCGGAAGGAGCTTGTCGGCGGCCGGAGGAGCGTCTCAATCGCGCGAGAGGGCAGAGGAGATGGGGCGACTATCGAAAGGGAGAGAGAGGACGATGCGAGCAAATGAAATGGAAGGCTGGAGATGGCTTATTTTAGGGCTTTTTCGATTATTTAGAATAAGCTAAATGAAAAGAGAGAGTACAAGAACATTGGGAGTTATAAGCTATTCTATATCATAAAAGTCAATAATAGAAATATTGCAATGATTATTGCATGTATAGAATAAGAGATAAAAGTATTAGGAGAGAAGTTTTACTTAATTTATAGTAATACAGCATATTATAATTGCAAATACATTCTTGGAGTCTTTGAGTATAATTGGGTTTTGAATTGGTTGCAAGTGTCCATGTTTGATTTATATAGCAGGTCTGAGTCATATTGCGATTGGTTGAGTTGCATCCTTCCTGAAGTTCTTATTAATTGAATGCCTTGGAAGTGAGAGATAATGCTTAGGTTGCACGTGCGCAAGTGTTATTGAAGGTTTTGAAGTAGACGATTGATGGTTTTGAAGCCATTGCTGTTGAGAATGATATCACCAACATATATCAATATGTTGATGGTGTTCTTTTGGCTATAAAGCATTATAGAAGGATCAATTCTATCGGTTTTGGACTCAATTTGGTGAATGTGAGTGGATAAAGTAGTGAACCATTGCCTCATTACTTGTTTGAGATCATATAGAGCTTTTTGAAGGAGGCATACATGATGAGATTATTGGATATCAACAAAGCTTTAGCACATCTCACAAGTTAGTAAAATATGAGTGTTAATACACCTAAATACATGTAATAATTACCATAAGGTGGTAAAAGTAAAAATTATTTAGCTTCCTATGAAAATTCAATTACATTAATAATCACCACGTGGGATATCTTCAATACATATGTAATTATCATCTCAATTAAATACTCCATAACAAATTAAAAGCATAAATCATATTGCAAGTCATGAGTGTGCAAGTACCCCCAATAACATACATGTTAGTTACCTAAATTAAGGGGATTCATATTTTTATAAATGTGTCGTATATCCTGTAAACTATTACAAGTACTAGTTGGTACGACTTTCTCATTCAAGTGTGTGAGATGTGCTAAATTACCAAAAATAAAAGTCTCCTACATGTTTCTTGATCATATAGAACAATTGTGTTTGCGTCATATAAGTGTACTATACGAGCACACTATATAACAATTCATACGGGTGAAAATTTAAAACATAAAAACAAAAATGCAAACCTACGAGACTAGCACGACGGATTCATGGAGGAGTTGGCGAGATCTTCGTCCTTGATTTGATGTCGAAATGAGGTCGAGATCTTCGGCCAGATGGAGCTTGTCGGCGGCCGGAGGAGCGTCTCGACGCGCGAGAGGGCGGAGGAGACGGGGTGACTGTCGGAAGGGAGAGAGAGGACGAAGCGAGCAAATGAAATGGAAGGTTGGAGACAGCTTATTTTAGGGCTTTTTCCGGCGGCGTTCTGGCGGTTCGGTCTGCCGGAACAAAATCACTTAACACCGGCGGTTTAAACCGCCGGTAAAGCGTTGGTAATAACTAATGCCGGCAGGTTATCCGGTTATTTAACCGTCGCTAATTCCGGCGGTGGTCATTTAAAAAATCATCGTTTAGACCGCCGGTTAAACTGCCGTTAGTACCGGCAGTCACATAACCGCCAGTCAGGACCGCCGGTAATTCAAGAATTTCCTGTAGTGGATGATGGTTTGAGAAGGGTTATTTTGATTTAATGAGAGATTTATACAAGTATATGTTTGAGTAAAAAAGAGATTTCGGATGCATTAGATCTTGTGTAGTAGTATGGTTATATGTGGTGGATAGTTTATGAGAAGAGATAGCATTTGATGGAGCTCCCCTAAATGGAGCAGTAGGTTTCCTATTGTGTAGTAGTATGGTTATTTATTTTATTTATAATGACCTTATTTTTATTAATTAAATATTTCAACTTATAACTGATCAATAATTTACTAGGCTGATTAAATAATTATTTTTATTTAAAAAACCAAATTAAAATAAAAGCAATATAAATTAATTTAAGAAAAAAAATCATTCATGAACTAATATTAATTATTAAGACTAATTTAATTTCTTGATAAACATAATATATGTAATTTTTAAATTAATATTTGTTATTTTAATTAAATAATTTATTTATGTAAATTAAAAAATAATTAGTACAAATTAATATTAATCTTTAATTAGTAATTTATAAAACTAATTAAACATAATAAATTATATTTATTAAGCTAAGAAAACGTTTATCCAGACGCGCTATCTAATCAAAATTTAAGCTTGCCTCAAATGGATGGAGTCGCTCCATATTTATTTTAGTTTAGTTAAACACGTACATTAAATTGTGATTAAACTATTTTTAATTAAAGAAAGACCAATCAAGAGCGTAATTTCAATTAAGCGACGTCCAATTTTGGTTGCAGGGAAGCTACGTTAGGTTATCATACCAGAGTTCCGTCCCGCAGGCAATGGGACGTCCAGTTTCTGTTTTAGATTTTATTAATTAATAGTGAGCGATAATGAAATGATGAATAGTTCTTTCGTCTATCTCTCCCATTGTCTCTCGATCTATCTATATATAAATAGAAATGGTTTATGGTTGGCATTCAGCAGAGCAACTCCGACAAAAGCAGTAAGGAATTATAGTAACGTTTAAGATACAAGGAGTTGACAATGGCGTCTTCTGTGGTGGTTTCCCTTCTCATCCTCTCAGCTGCTGGGCTACTTCCGCTTCTCGCATACAGCAAGGGCGGATTTTCCATGGAGCTTATTCACCGCGATTCACCAAAATCTCCTTTTTACGACCCCACCTCCACCGCTCACTCCCGCCTCAAAGCGGCCGCCCAACGTTCCCGCGCCCGCGCCACCTACTTCCGACAAGCCATGCAAAAAAGCACACTCTCCGAATCCCCTGCATCAGCCCCCGCAGCTGCCGACAACTTCTACTCCGATATCACACCAAATACCTTCGAGTATCTGATGAGCATCTACTTGGGATCTCCTGCTGAGAAGATCCTCGCCATCGCCGACACGGGCAGCGACCTTATTTGGATCCAATGCAAGCCATGCGACGAGTGTTACCACCAGTCAGCCCCCTTATTCGACCCGCAAGCCTCCTCCACCTACAAAGTCGTCTCTTGCGAGGCAGAATCATGCTCTGCTTTACCACAGGGCAGTTGCGGTTCTGAATCCCAGTGCGAGTATAACTATGCCTATGGTGATGGATCCTTCGTTGATGGCTTTCTCTCCACGGAGACAATCAGCTTCGACGCCATCGGCGGCCGCCGCGTCCAATTCCCCAAAAGCTTCTTCGGCTGTACCCATCGCAGCAATGGAACCTTTGATCAGAACGAAGGAGGTCTCGTTGGCCTCGGGGGAGGGCAGCTCTCTCTCATCCGCCAGCTCGGCTCTGCCATCGATAATAAGTTCTCCTACTGCCTCCCTTCCGCAGACCAAACATCTGCCACTAGCCGTCTTAACTTCGGCTCGAACGCAGTCGTCCCAGGTGGCTCCAATGGCGCGGTCACCACTCCGTTGATCCCCGGCTACCCCGACACCTTCTACTTCCTCAGCCTCGAGCAGATTAGCGTGTCCGGACAAGCCGGAGCAGTAAACGTGAAGCCGGCAGCGTCGACAAATGCGAAAAAAGCCAAGGATGTTGGGGGCAATATCATCATTGACTCCGGCACCACCCTCACTCTCATTGACGATGAGGCATTGCAGTCCGTGACAAGCAAGGTTTTGAGCAGCGTGAAGCTTCCGCGAGTGACGGATCCCGAAGGGCTATTCAGTCTATGCTTCGATGTGTCTGGTGAAGGGGGAAATAATGCAAAATTCCCCGACATAACCTTCCACTTCTCCGGCGGCGCGGCAGTCGTTCTGCACAAGTCAAATGCCTTCATCGAATCCGCCACCAATGTTCTGTGCCTGGCTTTGATATCCAGCGATGGAATTGGTATCAACATCTTCGGTAATATCGCACAGCAAAACTTCCATATCGAATACGATCTCGGCGCCATGCAGCTCACATTGGCACCCGCAGACTGCGCCCATCTCTAAATTATTATCATTCGGTACATGCATGATTTCTGACGTCGAACGTCGAGGTCTTTGTTAATTAATGGATGTATATGCCCTCATCACTTGTACTTATTGTTTGTTACTCGATCGATCTTATTATATATGTTACTGAATGCTCAATCTCTGCTCTTTCTGCTCCATCGTGCAAAGCTTTAAATTGTATTATTACTATGAGAATCGGCTATTGATCAAACAGGGACAACTAATAATGAGGTCTCGTTTGATTACTTGCTCGGACATAGAAAGCACGTTTCAAAATAAGAAATGTTGTGACCTGGAATATTCGCGGCGGCAGAGAAATATAAAATTTAAAGTCTTAGCTTCGTACGAAGATCCAGCGCACAAGTAGCTAAAAAAGAGGGTTCATAAGAGACATCAGACTTTTTATGTGGAAACCCCAGAAAAGGAGAAATAATCACACGGCCTGACCCAATTTGAATCAATCCATTATTATTTGTAGCCGATTACAAATAATTCCTTTCATTGGACGAAGGCCTTGTGTTGATGTAGCAAATGTACATAATATTAAGGCCATTTTTGGTGATTTTATTTTTATGCATTTTTTAAGATTATGTTTGGGATAGCTTTTTTGTTGCTTTCTAAAATATTTTTTTAGTACAAAAATTTTTTAATTAGAAATTTTTACACCAAAAAATTATTTTAGAAAGTAGCAAAAAAGTTATCCTAAATAAAGTAGTGGTCTGGCGGAGCGAAGACGTCAGGCGGTGGTCCTGCGAAGGCGAGGGCCTCAAGTGGTGGTTCGGCGGAGCAACGACGTCAAGCGGTGGTCTGGCGGAGGTCAGGGCCTCAAGTGGTGGTTTGGCATAGCAAAGAGGTTAGGCGGTGGTCTGGCGCAGGTGAGGGCCTTAAGTGGTGGTCCGGCAGAGCAACGACATTAGGCGGTGGTCCGGCGAAGGTGAAGGCCTTAAGTGGTGGTCCGGCGGAGCAACGGCATCACGCGGTGGTCCGGCGGAGCAACGACATCACGCAGTGGTCTGGCGGAGGTGAGGGCCTTAAGTGGTGGTCCAGCGGAGCAACGACATCAGGCGGTGGTCCAACGGAGGTCAAAGCCTCAAGTGGTGGTCCGGCGGAGCAACGGCGTCAAGTGGTGGTCCGGCGGAGGTAAGGGCCTCAAGTGGTGGTCCGACGGAGCAACGACTTTAGGCAGTGGTCCGACATAGGTGAGAGCCTTAAGTGGTGCATGGTCCGGCAGAAGTCCGACGGTGGTCGAGGAGAGTTGGCACGTGTTGTAAAATTTATGTTAGTAGAGTTGGTGGTTAATATCTTAGCTTTTAACAAAAATCAAATACACAGAAAAAGTTGTATAAGATCAGAAATTTTTTACAAGAAAAATCCAAAAGGAAAAAAAAAAACACTGATCTCTGGCCAAGTTGCAACAATCCACTATAGAATAAAAGATATCAGAATTCTCCCTTCCTTACAGTTGAAGAAGATTTGATTATTTAAAATTGAGAACAATCACCTGATTTCCCCTACATGAATTACAAAAATATGATGTCCACGGTCGATTACTTAAAACCCAACAACTGGGTTAAATCATGGCAGAAGTATGACGATGTTGGGAATGATTGTTGTTGTTGGTCATCTGCGATGATATTCGAAAATTTTGGAAAAAAAAATCTCTCAACTCTTACACCTTAATTTTTGTAGAGAATGAATCCCGGCCCTATTTATAGCCTTTTTTGATAAATTTAGTTAGAATCCAAAGTTCTTCATCGTACGGTCCATATTAATCTAATTAATCATAAATCATTTATCAAATATTTTAATAGATTATGATGTTAGAATCAAGAGATCTTGGTCATGTTAAATTAATTTGTCTTGCAGAGCCTCTTGATTTGACTATAATCAGGTTATCATATTTAGATGTTGTTTGTTCCATCAATTTATGCTAAGAAGTTTTCGAATATAGCTCAAGTGTCTGACTTGAGCTTATTTGGAGCCAGATCATATCATTCGTAGCATCGATATGTTTGTCTCATCAAAAAGTGTTGTTCAGCTATAAGTTTGTTGAAATCTGAGTTCGGATAATACTGAATTTAATTCTAAAATTTTTTCAATTCAAATATTACCTCGAGATCAATACCAATCATGTGAATTTTCTAGAGTTATATCAACGGTCCTCATTTTATGATTTAATGGCTTGTTTGGGACTCATTGCTTTGTCATTCAAACCAATACCACACTCTCACTTTTTTTATATATTTTTCTTCCTACTTTTTAAAAATTTCTATAATAAAAAGGTACTTCTACAACAAAATATGTTAATACGATAGTCTTAAAAAGTTGTGCAACTTTTTAAAACTAAATTATTAAATCCATAATATTTTAAAGAAAATTATTTTTCTAACAATAACTTTATAAATATCTTTAAAAAAAGTTGCAACCACCCCAAATAGGAACTTTTATTAGGTCCGGTGTAAGGACGTAGAGGAACGTCCGGTCGGAGGCAAAATCCCGCCAAAAAACTCGGTATTTGCTCGGTATTGCTATGTATTATTTGATAATAACGATGAATACCACTCTGTGAAGACCAATACCGAGTTATATCGAGCTATACCGACTTATACCGAGTTTTTGCTAGAAAAAACTCGGTACAACTTTTATATAACTCGGTATTGCTCGGTATAGCTCAATATAACTCGGTATTAGATCTTCACGTGATGGTATTCCTCGTTATTGTTTGGTATTGCTCGGTATTTCTCATTTTTTGGCGGGATTTGGCCTTCGACCGGACGTAATAATTGTTCCCCAAATAGACCCTAAACATCAAGTTAGAAGTAAAATCTCTAAGTTATAAGAAAATAGGAGAAAAAGAAGCAAAACTTCTAAAGATAATTTATTTTGTGAGCTTGCGCGTTGAGAGTTGTATTTTATTTTGAGTTTGAGTTCATAAAAGTTTTGGGTTATGCATTATATCCAAAATCAACACTATAGATATCAACATAAAAATTTGAATAAGATGAATATGACCACAAGAGTTAGTTAAATTAAAATTCAAAGTATAGCAAATAATGGTATGAAAAAAACCATTGCTATTCTCGACTCAGACAAGACACTTCTTTTTTTTTTGGTGTGTATCTGCCTTCTAGCTAAGCCTGTAGCATATACTTGTATATATTTGAGCTTTTCCCGGCTTGGAAGGAACTTTTGCTTTTGGATGGATTAATAAAGAGCAGAAAGGTGTTTTAGAGTTCAAGAAATTCTGTCTGTATCCTGGATTGCTTTTAATTCCAGGTGGTGGTTTGAAGGTTCTGTTCGTGCAAGTATCGTCGGTGGGTTTTTGGCCGGAAGTTCTAAGTTCCGGTATCAGTTTGGTATCAGAGCCGGCAAGATGCCACCTTGTCGCAATCCCCAACGGCCGGTACAAGAAGTGGTGATCGAAGATTTGCAAAGGGAAATACAACGATTGCAACAGAGACTAGAATGGTTTGAACAAAGAGAGGCTGCTAATTAAGATCAAGAAGAGGGAGAAGATGTAAACCCATTTTATCAAGCCTCATCCGGTGATGAAGAAGGAATGTGAAGGCCACGTGATCGTGCAAGAAAAGCAAGGCGTGACGATGGTGGAATCAACGTTGAATTACCTGACTTTCAGGGGAGACTAAATCCAGATGAATTCATAAATTGGATTCATATGGTGGAAAGGATCTTGGAATTCAAGGAGGTACATCCTGAACGCATAGTCAAGCTCGTAGCCATTAAATTGAAAAAGAATGCGTCATTGTGGTGGGAAAACTTGAAATGGACAAGACTCCGGGAAGGCCGTAGCAAAATCGTGAGCTGGGACAAAAATGAAAAAGGAACTTCAGAGGAAGTATTTACCAGAGCAGTATAAACAAGAACTATTCTTGAAGCTGCATAGAATTCAGCAAAACCAGATGACGATGGGGAACACAATCGTAAGGTTCTTGGAAGGGTCACATCCCGCAATTAGCAATGTGGTTCAATTGCAGACCTATTCGACATTTCAGAATGTCATTGACCTTGCTCTTAAAATGGAGAAACAACTTAGAAAATAAAAAACATGTGCAGAACATATGGGGGCTTAAAGAAGAAGTCAAGGAGCGGATTAGTGGCATGAATGATGCCAACTCCAGCAGCTATTTGAAGATCACCGAAACTGCTCAAATTAACAAGAAATCGACCAACACAACAAACTATCCAGCTAGGAAGTGTTTCAAATGTCAAGGGTTTCAAATGTCAAGGGTTTGGACACATTGCATCAAACTGTCCAAATCGACGTGTAATTACACTTCTAGAAGATGAAAAAAGAGAAGAGGTCGAAGACAACGAGGGAGATCCGATCGATCTTGAGGTCTTGAGTTCACCAGTTCCTATTATTCTTTCAGCGGATGAAGGACCGTTGTTAGTTATCCATCGTTTACTCAAGAATCAGAAAGAAGAGTTGTTGCAACGACATAATCTTTTCCGAACTCGTTGTACAGTTCAAGGTAAAGTATGTCAAGTGATCGTTGATAGCGGAAGTTGCGAGAATGTTGCCTCGAGCCTGATGGTAAATAAACTTCATTTAAAGACAGAAGAACATCCTATTCCTTATAAGTTGTCGTGGATTCAAAAAGAAAATGTGGTCAAGGTTTCTAAACGGTGTTTGATGAATTTCTCTATAGGTAAATACTGAGAACAAATTTGGTGTGATATCATACCGATGGACGCCTGCCACTTACTTTTAGGGAGGCCATGGCAATACAATCGTCAAACTATTCATGACGGCGCCAAGAATACATACACTATTAGCTATGATGGTTGTCCAATGGTGTTAGTTTCATTAGAAGAAGATCACATGCCCAAATCCCCAGAAGATTTGTTGATCAATTACTCTCAATGCCGTAAGGCCTTGCAAGAGGCCACCACAAGCTATATTTTAGTGTTAAAGGATATAACGCAATCTGTGGATAATTGTCACCCAAGTATCCATGAACTTTTACAAGAATTCTGAGATGTTTTTCCTGAAGAAATTCCAGCAGGCTTGCCCCCGTACGAGAGATTTAGCATGAAATTGAGCTAATATCGGGAGCTATGTTCCAAACCGACCACCTTACAGGCTCAGTCCAGATGAGCATGAACCAACTATAGCAGCAGATTGAAGCGGATCCAAGGAAGATTGAGGCGATTGTGAATTGGCCGGCCAATTCCCCAATCATTCACTGAGGTCAGGAGATTCCATGGACTTGCCTCCTTTTACCGAAGATTCATCCGAAGTTTTAATTCTATAGCAGCTCCACTTACTGAAATCTTGAAATTTGAACCATTTTTCTGGACAAGGTGCTTTAAATAGATTTGAACTTCTGAAGAAAACTATGACGGCAGCCCTGGTCTTAAGTTTACCAGATTTCAACAAGGTGTTCGAGGTAGAATGTGATGCCTCCACCATGGGATAGGCGCTGTGGACATCCCATCGCCTTCTTCAGTGATAAGCTAAATGAAGCTCAGCAAAAAATATTCTACGTGCAACAAAGAATTTTACTCCATAGCCAGAGCTTTACACCATTGGAATCACTATTTGTTGGCCAAAGATTTCATATTATACACCGACCACTGAAGCTCTCCGTTTCCTAAATAGTAAAAAAAAATTGAAAGGTAGGCATGCGACATGGTCTGAATTCTTAGCGGCTTTCAATTTTGTGTTAAAACATAAGGCAGGGCAATTTAAACCAAGCCGCGGATGCTTTGAGCCGTTGCCACCTGCTGCTTCAAATAATTCAGACTAAAGTTTTGGGAATGGAAACTTTCAAGAGCAAGTACCCAACGGATGGAGATTTCCATTTGATTTTGAATAAATGTCCGGCTCAACCTCACAAACTTTTTCATATTAAGGAGGGATACTTGTTCTATGGCCATTGTCTTTGTATACCAAGAGGCTCAAACCAGCTAGCCATTATTACCGAATGCCGTGATGATGGTTTGATGGGGCATTTCGGAAGACAAAACCTTGAATTTAATTCAAGAAAAGTTCTATTGGTCGTTAATGTCACGGGATGTTGGGAGATACGTTCGGGGATGTCGAGTGTGCCGTTTAGCGAAAACCCAAGGCACTAATGCATGTCTCTACTCTACATTGCCCGTTCCAAAAGCTCCTTGGAAAGATGTGAGCATCGACTTTGTGTTGCATTGCTGATTTATATTTCAGGGAAATAGTCAGATTACATGGCATTCCGATGACTAATACGTCCGACAGAGATGTAAAATTTATGAGCTATTTTTGGAAGACTTTGTGGGGAAAATTGGGTACCCGTCTGCAATTCAGGTCAACTGCACATCCCCAAACAGACGGGCAAACGGAAGTCGTTAACCAGAGCCTTGGTAATCTGTTAAGATGCTTTGTGGGTAAAAATATTAAGTAATGGGATTTGATACTCACTCAAATTGAGTTTGCTTTCAACCATTCCGTGAACCAATCTATCAGACGAAGCCTTTTGAAATTGTGTATGGGCGAAACCCCCTAACTCCGTTGGATTTGATTCATGAAGTGCATCAGACCACTTACAATCCTGATAGCGAACACAGGAGTAAGGAAATTCAAAAGCTGCATCAACAGGTCCAAGAAGTAATCATTAAACATAATGAGCGGTATCACGTCCAAGCCAACAAACACAGGAAAAAGGTTGAATATAAAGCAGGAGACTTGGTGTGGATCAGATTAAGAAAAGAACGTTTTCCACCATGAGTTTGTGGCAAACTAAAACCCCGAGTTGATGGTCCATTTCGTGTAGTTAAGAAGATCAATGATAACGCTTACTTGATAGATTTACCTGGAGACTACCACATTTCGGTTGTGTTCAACGTAGCCGATTTGACTCCACATTTTGAGAACGAAGCTCTTCCAACCCTGGGAGAATGACGCAGGAGCATGTGCAAAAATTATTGTTTTGTTTTACCGTCCTGTATTACTTTGGTAATGTTTTCTGTCTTCTAGCCAAGCATGTAGCATATACTTGTATATATTTGAGCTTTGCCCGGCTTGGAAGGGACTTTTGCTTTTGGATGGATTAATAAAGAGCCGAAAGGTGTTTTAGAGTTCATGAAACTCTATCTATATCCTGGGATTGCTTTTAATTCCAGGTGGTGGTTTGAAGGTTCTGTTCGTGCAAGTATCGCCGGTGGGTTTTTGGCCGGAAGTGCTAAGTTCCGGTATCATTTACAATTGAACTTTGAACCTGTCAAAATGACTCAACTTTACAAGGATTCAAGCCACACACTTTTAACAACTTGATGACATGAGGCACATGTCATTAATTCAACCATGGATCATATCTGATTCGATGTGTATTTTAAGTAATAAAGTAACAATTATTTTGATGGAGTTGTGAAATTATAAGTCAATGTTATTATTTAGTTTTATCGAGCCATATGATGCATTAAATAAACATCATTGTTATTCAAAAACATTTTTTACAAATTCAAGCAACCAAATGAGCCCTTAGATGAATTAAACTTATCATTACCCTTTAATCTGAACAATTATTACGTCCTCTGACCGGACGTAGAGCTACGTTCGGCCGCCAATAACATGTCGCCACGTGCTCTTACTCTTTACCGCGCGGCCCGACGACTTGACCCGGAGCGGAACCCG